GACAGGAATGAGTAAAGCTTGCAGGAGGGCAAAGCTGACCTTGCTCAGACTCATAACAGAGGCTCAGTCCTGCAGTCAGTCACCTCTTATTGCACACACCCCACAACCACTGCTCCCAATAAGTTCTCCATACTGACGTGGCTAATGTTTATTTACTAAAATTTTCTAGTCAGATTTTTCTAGCACTGCAGACGTGTAGCAATGGCAGAGACCCCAAGAGAGCCAAATGCTGAGCAACAATCTTGGCAGAAAGCATGGATGAGATGTGGCTCAAAGTGCATCCCTGTATTTGGACATCTATCCTTTAGCACATCCAAACTCACTCTTTTGTCAGATGCAGTACAGATCATGCTCCTGTACTACTGGGTTTTTTAATCAAAACATTCTTTCAAATGATCCCTTCCACCCTAGGAGCAACTTTCCAAACAATCATCTCTATGGGGTTTACATGTGTGTGTAAACTTGTTTAGTTTAGGCAGTAGAAAAAAAGAACTACTCAGAAACAGGAGACTTTGAAGACTCAAAAGGCTAACAAATGGCTGTAAATTAAGGGTCCTTGTGTTAAATTCCCTAAAAACCAGTTCTGACAAGAAATCACATCAGTGGTAGGGGATAGTAAAGTGTAAGCCACAAGACCATTTCTTCTCCCCATGAACTTGTCACTGAGAGCGCAACCAATATTTCTCCTGAGGCTGAGTGCTTATGGATAGCCTTGCCCTCACAAAGCTGAGGCTCTGCTGTAGGTTCAAAGGAATAAGCAAAGCAGTGGCACTTTAAAATTGCAGGTGTTCTCGTCTTTGTTCTTAGAGCTAACATGAAATGAAGAGCCAAGTAAACAATGCTTGAAGAGTGGAGACAAATGCTGATGTATAAGCATACACAGAATGAACTGAAGGCTTGGTTGGCAATGCTTTTAAAATGAATTTGCAGCTTTAAAAATAACAGTACCTGATTTGCTAGTGTTATTTTGAACTTCTTTCAAAGCTCTTCTGCACAACTGTTTTCATCACTTGTGTTTGTAATTTCCTAGTACAGGAAGACATTGCTTCAGCCTTTTTTGTAATGATAACCAGTAGTTCTTAATTTTTTTAGCTTTGCGTGTGTATGTATTTGCTACCATGCAACCTCTGTAAAGAATGGAAGGGTAAATTCTCTTCAATAACTTGAATGATAAATAATTAGGAAGACTCCATTGTTTCCACTTTTTTTTTGTATTAACAATGAAAATTGCAAACAAAAGAGGACTCAACATGTTTTTCCATCTTATTCATGCTTCAGTAGACCAAACTTAAACTAAAAGCGGCCAAGATAACAACGACGGCCTACAAGACACGAGTAAAAGAGTCAGAGGATGAGAATGAATTAAAGGAATCACTAAAATCTATGTGAGAAAAATAGATCCTATTTTTAATGTGTAATGTTTCCTTTTAAGCAGACATCCATGCTTCAAAATTCAGGTGTGTATGGTTATTCTGAAATTAAGAGAATACTGCAATTATTCTAGTGATATAGCCTGCACTGCCATAACACAGCATGGAATCTGAGCAAATGGAAAAGCAATTACAAAGCTCCCAAAAGAGAGCAGCTCTGAGACTAAATGAGGATGTTTGTGAAACAAATGCACATTTAAAGCAGGCTTTTATGAAACAGTATTTGTGTTTTGCACTGCTACCAAGCTAGTTTAATTTATTGCAGAGATGTCAGTTTTGACAAATGTTTCTTTTTCCATTTTGTTAAGTATGTCAAAAATAGAAGTCTTTCTTCTGAATTGAACTTTTCCCCCCTGCAAATTTAAATGAAACTTCTCAGTTGGTTGAACACAGGCTGCAAAAGCTTCTTCTGCATAATCCAACTGTCAGAACACATGAAAATCCGTGTGAAGCCTTCCAGTCCCTCAGCAGATGGATACAGGGGGCTAACTTTTACTGACACTTGTTATACAGACCATAGAGCTCACTGTTTGGCAGAGACTGTAGGACTGTCATCTTTGCTGACAAATATGATTTATTTATTTATTTGCGGATAAGCCGACATAATGTTGATGTAACAGAACGGTAACTGCTGAACCTGCCTGGGAAAACAGTAAGTGAGGAGGGCAAGTCAGTGACAGACTGATCTGGATTGCTAAGCTGGGGGCAAACTAACAGCATGCATTCTACTAGTGTGAAATGCAAAGATGTTCACCAAAGAAGCAAAGAGTGGGAGCACAGTCTTGGTGAGATACAGGCAGCTCATTGAGGACCCACAGGTATGATTGGAATAAAGAGAGGATAAGAATCTTTCATCTCTACTTATATACTGGGAAAGCAAAGATTTGGAAAAAGTTTTTAAATCAAAAGACAAAAAAATAAGCGTATACTATGCCTGAAAGTTAAACGTGTTTATTCCATCAAGAAATATGATTCACCTCGGTTTTTTTTTTTTTTTTTAAACAGTAGGAAGGATGGTTAACTATAGGATAAAAGAGAAATAAACTCCTGTAGGTTGGAATGAATATGCTTTTACTGGGAAATTTTTGAAAGAGACTGAACCGTTTGTATAAACAACATGCTCTACCCTGACCAGAGCAGATCCTGTCAGGTCCTGTGATAGTCAGTCTCCCTGCTGTTTATAAGCTCCCTTAAAGTACTGGAAAGTTGCAGTGAGGTCTTTCAGAGCCTTCCCTTCTCTAAAGCTAACCAAACCCAGCTCCCTCAACCTTTCTTCATACGAAAGGTGCTCCAGCCCTCTGATCACTTTCATGGCCCTCCTCTGGACCTGCTCTAACAGCTACACATAAGAAATTGCTCTCTTGCAAGACTGGCATCATTTCTCATTCTATGTACCTCCTGTAGAATGCTGGCCAAAGGAATTTCTAGTTGTAATTCACATCAGTGGGTGTAGCCATGTGATTGCCAGTAGAACAGAAAGCTTCATCTTACCTGAGAGCAGCACTTCCTCTGGGAAACACCTGAATCATGCAATACTCTGTATTCGTCACACAATATTTCAGTTGGATGCTTGTAGCAGAGAGCAGCTCATAAGGTTTTTTTTTGTTTTTTTTGTTTTTTTTTTTTGAGATGAAAGTAAATGAAATTTCCAGCAGAATCTTACAATAAAGGGAGCTAGCAATACTACAAAATTCTGCAGAAGCCTGTATTTCAGTGACTAGGTGGGCACTAAGGAGTCTCTATTACCCACCCAATATGATAATATATAGGTATGAGGATAGCATCAGTTATCTGATTCCTGCTCATCTTTTCCTTCCTTCTTTCAGATCAAATTTCATTGCTGGACTCTGAACAGTGACCACGAGAGGTCCTTCCTCTCACAGCACAGCATTGCTGCTGGGGCTGCTAACATCTATCCACACTTGCAGCATGTTGCCTTTAGAGCCGTGACACTTCTTAAACTTTAAATATGCACTTTAAATTAAAACAGTGTGATAATGCCACTTTTTAGAGACATCTTTTCAAATTAAAGTTGAACAGCTTGAAAAACTGATGAGTTGTTATTGCTAATGTCTTCTGGCTTGCTGTGGCACTGAGGCTGAAATGCAACATCTCAGAAATGAAAACGGAACAGGAAGGAACTTCTACGGTTTCTGATGCAAAAGTTACAGTGTGATATGCCATTAAGCAGCATCTTTAAGAAGGAGGTCTTTTTTGTGTCTGATTTTACTTTCTAACATAAAGGGTCAGTATGTGCCAACCAACATTACGTGAGTTTTTGAGGTATAGGAGTCCTATTTATGCTGAATGTAATAAAATATCTGAAGTCTTAGCTTCGTTGTTGTAACTAGAGAAGGACTGATTATTCAGTGTGTAAAGAGATACTGATTACTGTAGAGGGGAATTTCTAGAAACATTGCTAAGAAAAAATAAAGTCTGAGGTACATTACAGATATAGTCACCTCACTGTAAGCAAAACCATTTTATGAAACTAATATAGATATCTATATAGGTATAAAACCCCATAGATTTTTCCACAGGAGAGGTAATTTCTAAATAACTTTTTCCCTCTCAGTGTATTTATGAAAACAACCTGAAATACCAACCAAAGAGATACAGGTACTTCATTGTAAAGTATCAAAAGGAAAGATTCCAAAAATCTCATCCAGGAAGAAAACCTTCTGTTGCAGGGTTCACAGGTGAAATGGAAGATGTGCCAGTTTTAAATTAGATTACTCAGGTTGTGTTAGCAGTACAACTGGGATAGTACAGGGCCCAGAGTTGTTCAGTTTCTCAAGCTTTCTTTCTGTGACACTAACGTGGACATCTTCTTGATACTTCCATAGATTCTTGCGTCAGGAGGATGCCCTACCTGAACACTTCTTCTTTCACATACTTTTATAATATTTAAAAACACTAACAGAATTTGCATTTAGATTTCTCAAAATTGTATTTAATCTCTCTTTGAAATGACATTATATTAAAAACGTACAGCATACTTATTAAACTTTCCATCAAACTCCATCAGATCTGGCCAGGAAATCTTATTTGCTATAAACCACGATGGCGTTTCCTAACATTTTTTGACATCCTATTTTGTAACACCCTGACTCCATGTATTAGATGTGAAATGGCCCTGAGCACCAGAGCAGCATTGCCCATGCTGCTCAGGCTGGCAGTATCTGAGCAGGATCTCCATGGAGCCTGCGTATCCATACTACTTAATTTCTTATCCAGATGCAGGAAGAGTTGACTGCAGTGTGTATAAAACTCAGCATGTCGTAGCAAATAAAACGTATAGCTTTGATCTAAAAATATGTGGTTATTATCTGGCTTTAGGAAAGACAGATTTGTGCTGCAGATAAACAAATGGATGAACGGCTAGCAGAATTCAGTGTATCTGGTGTTCACAGAAGAAACATGCAGATGCTCAGGAAAGAAGGGAACTAGTAACAGAGAGTTCAAAACCACCACAATCATGATTTCCTCTAAGGATCTCTTTTTTGCATTTACTACAAGATCATGCATGTTTTTTAAGAGAATGGTTTGTAATGTTGTAATCTACTGCAGGTTCTACTCCCAAGGTTTTCAACCTCTTTCTCTAGGCTGGAGGATTTTTGAATAACCATCACTGCTTGTTCCAAGTGTGAGATTCCACCGTTATCTCTGAAGTAAGAACCAGATTGAAAGCTCTTCTGGCTTTTCAGGTGGGTTCTCTGTTATTCTCATCTTACCTCAGTCTTTATGTGTTCTTTCATTTTTAGAATATGTACAAGGAAGATTTCAGGAATATTACTGAAGAGAACATAGCCAGCAATGGCACCTTCTCTGACTTTGCCCACACCAACACCACAAGAGCTATCCTGATTACCGTCTACTCAGTTGCCTTTGCTGGAGGTGGGATAGGTTCCACTGCAATGTCATTTGTGCTGGTCAAGATGAACAGTCTGTCTGTGACCACTACAGCCATCATTAACCTAGTCGTGGTACATGGCCTCCTTCTCCTCACAGTCCCCTTCCGTCTGCACTACTATATCAATAAAGAGTGGATCTTCCACATGCCATTCTGTAAAATGGTGAGTGCTATGGTGCACATCCACATGTATCTGACTTTCCTATTCTACGTGATCACACTGGTGATCCGGTGGTTGATCTTCTTTCAGTGGAAGGATAAGGTAGAGTTTTATAGGAAGCTACATGCCATTGCCGCAAGCGTCGCCGTGTGGGTCATCGTCATCATCTTCATGGTGCCGCTCTTCTGCATTCAGTATGGGCGCTCAGGGACGTATGATGACAAAGCATGCTTTAAATTCCACAAGGAGCTGAAACAGGATAGTGTGAAAGTCCTGAACTACCTAGCCATTGCAGCTGTCGCCTTAATTACTTCTGTTCTCCTGGGCCTGCAGATCTTTATTCTGGTCAAAGTATCGAGAAAACTCTCCACCTCTCTCTGGTCACATCAAGAATTCTGGGCCCAGGTGAAGAACTTGATATTCATCTGTGTCATCATAATTTGCTTCCTTCCCTATCACCTCTTTAGAGCCTACTACATAAAGCATGTGAACGACAGCGAAAAGTTAGAAAGCTACAATGAAGTTTTTTTGAGCCTGACTGCCCTCAGCTGCCTGGACCTGCTGTTCTTCGTGCTGAGTGGAAGCCGTCTCTTCAAACAAAAGGTTGGCATGCTTCGAAGCAGGCTGCCCTGCTGCTAGCTCCAACTGTGTGGGGTCCTGGAATCTTGCAGAGCACAGTGCCGGAGAGACATGGCACATCCACTCCCCAGCACGTCAAAGCAGGCACTGGAAACAACATAAAACTGCTCCCCAAAACAATACACTACTCTGTATAGAGTACAGAGGCCTTGCAGAGAAGTCTTGACAAATGTGAGGGCTGGGCAGTCACTAACGGCATAAAGTTTAACAAGAGCACCGGATTCTGCACCTGGGGCACAGCACTCCTCTTCCAGTGCTGGAGTTCAAGAAGCATTTGAACAACGCTCTCAGTCACAGGGCTCAAATTTTGGGTGGTCTTGTGTGGAGCCAGGAGTTGGATTGGCGATCCTCATGGATCCCTTCCAACTAGGAACAGCCTATGATTCTGTGGTACATTTCTGTTTCCTCTTGTAGTGACATCTTTTGTGAAGAAAAATACATTACGTGCATTCTGTAAGCACTGCATCTTTGTAATGCTATAAATCTTTTTATATAATAAAGCTTTTTTATCAAAGAAAATAGCTTTGTTCTCAAAAAAATAAAGCATATATTTCAAACAGTACATCCTGATCATATAGCTTAACTAATCCTGTATATCTTAAGATGGGGAGTAGTTCAGTTTTTGCAAAAATATTTGCAATACCATGGCATCACAGAAGTACTACACAGTGGGTGCTTTTTTCTCAAATAGAAATTGATGCTGATAATTGTAATGTTGATTCATGATGCTAATGAGCAGAATTAGGGGGATGCAATTCCATTATTTGAGTTGGCAGTACTAGTCAATACAGTGTTAATATCTCTATGGAACGGTCTGACAAACTTTACACCAGCCACTCATCTCACTTTGTGAGTCTGGCAGAGAAAGTCTCCCCCTGTCCAAAGAGAAGGAAGTCCTTGTTAATCTTATCAGGAATCACCCTGCCAGCTGGTGACAGAAGTGGCCTCTGTTCTTGCTCTGTCCCACCCTCCTGGGCATCTTTCCTGTTCACTCCCCCTTTGAGGGCTGAAGAGGAATTGGATGTGCTGCCAGGCAATCCCGTGGAAGGAGAAGTCTGAAAAGCTGCTGAAAATTAAAATGTAGACAGGGCCAGATCAACATCTGAAATGTAGCCAAGCAGCTCCTGTGAACAGTGGTGAACAGTGATGATGGAGGAAGATGTGTGGAGCTGCAAACATCGAGGAGCCAGTCCATAGAGGAAAGGGGAATTTCCAGTTACCACCAACTATTTGGTCAAAGGCACCAATGCCTAAAAAGACATTCTGATTTTGCTAACTTTCTGTTACAGAGGAGGTTAGAAAACAACCATACAAGAACAACAGCAAAAAAAGAACTCTATTACAGCAGGACATACAGGGCAAAGGCCCTGCAGAAGGTGATGGGGAAGAGGATAGTAAGGCAGAATATGAGCATATTTCTACCATACAGACACAAGGTAATAGACTGTCTCTGGACATCATCTCACGCTGTTTACCAAACCCCTACAGCTGCCAAAAAGTGGAACTCCCACTGACAGAAGCAAGCTAAACTTCCATTATTCTTTGTTCCTACTTTTACACCATCCTTTCATCTGCATAAATCTCCCCAGTAGTTCACCAGTGAGCCGTGAAAAATCATGTTAATACAAGGATAAATACAACAAGCTTGCTTTCTTGCAGTAATGCTGGTTCAAGGTATTTATCAGACTTCAGTCCTCGTTGTCTCATTCTTCTCAGGCTTCAATTTTTTTCTTTTAGGCAGTTTTTACCCAGACCCTTATCACCTGATGTAACAATAACAACAACAACAACAAAGACTTGTAAACTAAGTTCATTTTGCATGAACAAAGTCATCCCTGCAGTAAATTGCCTATGGAAGTTTAAACCCAAATTGAACATACACTTTGTGTTACAATAATACTGTGGAAGCAGATATTCTGGAAAAAAAAAAAATAAAAATAAAAATAAATTTGCTGTTCCTTCAAGAAATATCTGTTTCAACCACTTATTACAGAAAAGAGACTGGAGATATAAATCATTCCAGAAAATACTGGCCACATTATTACACTGTTCAACTCCATGCTTTACTTGGGGACCACCTGAAGTATCTAGTCATAGAATCACAGAATGGCCTGGGTTGAAAAGGAGCACAGTGCTCATCCAGTTCCAACCCCTGCTGTGTGCAGGTCACCAACCAGCAGCCCAGGCTGCCCAGAGCCACATCCAGCCTGGCCTTGAATGCCTCCAGGGATGGGGCATCACAGCCTCCTTGGGCAACATTTCCAGCTAGCATTTAATGAAATGCCTATATGTATGGTTCTAATGGGGGAGGTCAAATATCACCCAAGTGGAAGATAAAAATTAAAAGTAGATCTAAATTTTACAAAGCAGAAATTACTTCACGATAGTCTCTATTATAGAAATCAGCATTTGTTCTGTGATCTACTGTGCCTTTCTGAACAGCCTGGGAAATAAAATAAAACGAAACAAAATAGCTATTTCTATTGTATTTTAAGCTAGTAACTTCAAAAAAAAAAAACAAAAAAAAAACCAGAGATTACTCATTTTTTATAATACTTTTCTACTTTTTTCTGTTGTTTTACAAAGTAACTGGGAGTAATTTTGAGAGTAACTTACAGAAGAACTTTACAAAAATATAATACTCCAAGTACATGATCCCAAAAGCTGAATACAATGCAGCTATTGCTAATATAAAGAAGGTAAAACAAAATCCTAAATCAAAGTCAAGATGTGAATACTATCTGCTTGCAAAGTAAGTATCTAGGATTCAATCTTTGTTTTTTTTTTAAACGATGTGTACATTGCTGCCTCTTCCCCTTCAGATGCAGCTTTATTGAGAAGGAACAGTTTCCTATTTCCCTCATTTTAGATATGAAATTCTACAATTTGGAGACATTGAGAAGCTGATTAAGAGAAGACAGAGAGAAGAGGAATCTTCCATTATGCGAGCACCAAGAATAGATTCAGTATCATCAAAAAAAGGACATATGGCTACTGGCCATGGTGGCAGTGATTGTGTCAGAAAACTTTTGTCCTCTGTCTGCACAAACATCATCAGATACACTGTTGAGCTCTTCAGATCAGCTACAGAGTGTTCCAAGGAGAAAGAAAGCACCACTTGGCTAAACAGTTTGCTGGACAATCTGTTTTTAACAAGGAGCACTTAGCACAGGACAAATTGACTATATTGATATGACTTTAGACAGCTTGGAGTGGATAACGATGACACCAAAATTTTGTGTTCTCCATCCACTTCTATTAAAAAAGAAAAAAAGAGCTGAGGTTGCTCTACAGCTTCAACATCTTTTTAATTTTTGGAGCTCCAGTTGTATGACAAGGTCATGATGAAATTGAATTAGTTAATGAAGTCATAGAAGGACTGAAATATTTGTGGTCTCAGCTCAGCTTGGTACATGGAAAACCAGGACAGTCTCAAAGTCAAATGCTCATTGGGTGTATGATAGACAATAATTAACGGACCTGTTATTTGGAAATTCGTTTTGTGAAGCTTTCTAAGATCACCACTCAAGAATTAACTGTTCACCATATTCAGCTCTGTTTGGAGCAGGCTCTAGATGTGAGTGCACCTTGACCTCTCTTGCATCAGATGTGATCAGCTGCCCAATGACTGAAGAGGGCCTGGTCTCTGTGCTGACTGTTCCTGCTGCACCATCCATTCCAACAGCCAATGAAGATCCAAAGGATCCCACTGGTACTGTCACTAAAGCAGAGGCTGTTACAGAGCCCTCATCTCGGTCTCCATTAGAAGAAATTCATCCATAGCATCTGAAACTTCCGCTCACACAGACCTTCAAGACACATAGCCTTTTGCCAGCAAAGACTGTGTCCAATGCACAACTGTTAGCTATCCCAGCCTCCAAAACCCATCTGTTTTACCAGCATGATAAAGGAGCACAGGCAGACCTGGCTGGCCCACCTGAACAATATAGGTCAGCATCCAAGAAAAGAGTGCGTGGCCAAGGCAACATCCAGCTGGCAGCAGTGGAGACAACCTCACACTCTCTCAGACTGACCAAAGGACCATCAAGGAAGCCAATTGGAATCATAGAATGGCTTGGGTTGGAAGGGACCTCAAGGATCATCAAGCTCCAATATCCCTACCGCAGGCAAGGCCACCAACATCCATATCTAATACTAGACCAGGATGCCCAGGGACCCATCCAACCTGGCTTTCTACACCTTGAGGGATGGGGCACCTCTCTGGACATCCTGTTTCAGCACCTCACCGCTCTCAAAGCTTCTTCCTGACATTCAACCTTTAACATTTACATTAACATTTAACAGTCTGGAGGAAAGAAAGCAGTAGGGAAGGCAGTTATTGTTTTCTTTGGTGAAAAAACAACCTCAGCCTACCAACAGAAGGAGTTCCCTTTCCTCTTTACCAGTGACTGCATTACAATACATAATCATGATACAGTTCATGTCATCCTGCTTTATGAAAGAACTAGAAACTGATATAGTATTGTTTTGTGTTGTCTTTAATCCAAATGCATTTTGCTGAATGAATTTCATTTTGTTAGGGAGTTAATTAGTGTGGCTGTTTCTCATCACTAATGTAACCTGTACATATGCACATTCTCACTATCTCTGCTATATCTCCCCTCCATGCAATCTTAAAATAAATGAGACAATTTCCCATAGAGCTCTCTCAGTATTCAAGAACATGCTCAGTCCAGAGCTGCTGTGTGAATATTGCACCCATGTGCATTTTGTTTTTACTTCAATAGTAATCTGCAAACTCAGTCACAAAAAAAACCACCCATCAAAAGCCATGAGAGGAGGGTGCTGTTTTCATTTTGTTAATGTGGTTAAGTCACAACATTCCACCACTACCAGCAGACTGCAAACCCGAGCTGATGCCTCTTTAGTTGAGCAGCATTAACGTTCCAATAATTAAGAAATTTGAAAGGCTGAACATTCTTTGGTGCTTCAGGAGAGATGAAGCTTTTTGAAACGCAACAGTTGAGTGTGGAGAATAAACAAAGCCAGAAAAAAGTAACAGCAAACTTCTCACCCTGTGAATGTGAACCACATGAGGCAGCAAAACTACAAGAACACCTGAAAAACCTGACAAGTGAAATTAGGCAGCAAGCAGTTCACAAACA